GGGGGGGTGTCCCCGTGGGCATCCCTCTCTGGGTGGGAGGCGCTCACCTGTCCTAACAGCATGCAGCACGGACACCCACGGCTCTAGCCACTCGAGTTCCCTCATTCAGTCCCCCGGGTCTTCCCCCACATCAACCCCCGCGTTACTAATCTATAATAATGAAAGCATAAGATGCTAATTAGGCCAGACAGCCGAACAACCTTCCGGACGTCCTTCCGGATGACCTTCCGGACGAAGCCCCTTGCCCAAATTCCGTGCACCAGGCTCTAATAAGACTGTCAGAGCCCAGAGATCACATCTGCAAGGAATACGGAGTTAACTCAGACGCAAAGATGACATTTCCTAATGTCCACTCCCACCATCTAAGCCAGCCGTGGGCAAACTACGGCCCGCGGGCCGGATCCGGCCAGTTTGAAATGAATAAAACTAAAAAAAAAAAAAAAAGACCGTACCCTTTTATGTAATGATGTTTACTTTGAATTTATATTAGTTCACACAAACACTCCATCCATGCTTTTGTTCCGGCCCTCCGGTCCAGTTTAAGAACCCATTGTGGCCCTCGAGTCAAAAAGTTTGCCCACCCCTGATCTAAGCCATGCATGGAGGGAGGCTGAGCCATGAGGACAGTGTAGATTGTACCGTGGCCAGGGCTGTGTTTTGTTTTTTAAAGTATACTTTTAAACATTTATTGATTTTAGAGAGAAGAAGGGGGGGAGAGAGAGAGAGATGCTGTTATTTATGCATTCATTGGTCACTGATTGATTCTTGCATGTCCCCTGATTAGGGATCGAACCTGCCACCTGGGCGCATCAGGATGACGCTCCAACCAACTGCGCCTCCGGCCAGGCCAGGGCGTGTTTTCCAGGCCTCGTCTCCGTCAGCCCGCCTGACCTCGGGGGTGCCGGTAGGAATCACTTGTTCCTTCGTTTGTGTGTGATGCACAGGACAGAGGCATCACCGCCCTGTCACCGAGCTCGCAGGTGACCAGGGTGGCGTCAGACTGCACTGGAAGCACAGGCCACCCTGCCTTTCCCAGTGCGGGAAGCGGAGGCCCCGGCCTCGAACTCCCAGGGACTCAGAGCCCTGTCAGAGTCGGTTAGACCTGGTCCCCGCTCCCCCAGGGACAAGTCGGTGAGGAGAAGATGAAGGGGGCACAGTGCATAGTAAACCGATCCTGCAGGGGGTGGGGGTGGGGGGTTTCTCCAGGGCCTGTCCCACAAGTCCCCCTGTCCCCTGCCCAGGCTCACCCCGGAAGTATGTGGCCCCTCCTTCTACGGCTCTACCTGAAGTGTTTTACCAGCAGGTCAGCCTCCTGCCCCCGGGCTGGCTGCCCCTCAGCTGGGGAATCACGTGGGTGGCTGTCCAAGTCCCCCTCCCCTCCTCCTGGGAAGACCAGGGTCAGGAGCACTGGGCCCGGTGGGGACCCACTGGGCCTCCTCCACCTGTGCCTGCTCCCCCGAATTCTGTCTTTTCTCTCTGGGCAGCGCCATCCAGAAGGTTCCCCGTCGTCCGGAGGCAGAAGGAAGAGCGTTTTGTGCGCCCTCTTGGCTGGGCCTGCACGGGACCCTTGGGGTGGTGTGTTGTGCACACATTTTTTTCCCCCCCCCCCTGCCCGCAAGCCTTCCGCCTGGTGTGGGAGAGTGAGGGGAGGAAGGAGGGGCCTCACTGAGCAGGGGGCTGGGGTTTCTCTAATCACTGGGCCGAGCCCTGCCTTTTGGGAGAATGATTACTCGGTTTCTTTTCCTCCATTCTCTCTTCCTTGTTATTTTAAGTTGAGTTGTCACCTCGGGGGGAGGGTCTTTATCCTTATCTTTTTGTTCTGTTCTGTGAGGGTGTAAACCGTGTCACCCTGGAAGTTTAATTTGGATGCAATGACCCCAGAGAGACTAGTCAGTTACCTTTCCTCTGAGCTTTAAGAATTTCTGGGATTCTCCCCCTTCCTACAGGCAAGGCGGAGTTTTTCATTTAGTCGCCTGGTTTTCCAAGGTATCATTAGAGAAAAGGCAGAAAGGAGGGGGAGGAGGGGGAGGAGGAGGAGGCCAGGGAGGGAAGACGAGGAAGAAGGTGGAGGAGGAAGGAGAAGGAAGAAGAGGAAGAAGAGGAAGAAGAGGAGGCAGAAGAGGAAGAAGAGGAGGAGGAGGAGGAAGAAGAAGAAGAGGAGGAGGAAGAAGAGGAGGAGGAGTGGGAGGAGGAGGAGGAGGAGGAGTGGGAGGAGGAGGAGGAGGAAGAAGAAGAAGAAGAAGAGAAGGAGGAGGAGGAAGAGGAAGAAGTATGTGTGTGTGTTTCCACTTTAATGAAAAGGGAAAGGAAAACGCGGTCTGGTGTTCTGTTGAGAAACAGGCTTCTTAGTCGGCCCCCTCACCCCTCCAAGCACCTGGCTGGGTCTCTCCAGTGCCTTCAACTTCAGACCCAAATCCTGGCGCTCTTACGCGGCAGGAACACGCAAGGCGTCCACGCGGGCAGGATAGGAAGCAGCTTTATTTTTCTAAATCGAAGAAACCTTTAGTTGCATCAGGTGGAAGCAATTTTTTCCTGCAAATGCAGCCCGTTGGTCCTGTTTTGCGCGAGGAGACGGGCGGCTGTCTGCGTGAGCAGAGACGTTGTCTGCGCTGGGAGAACAGGAGTGTGGGGGGGGAGGGGGGTATGTGATGCAAGTTACTGATCCTCTCTGTGCTCTTTCCAGCCTGGATTGTTCTTTTTCTTCCCAGGGAGCACCTCGCCAGGCATGTCCCTGATGCCCCCAGGAGCAAGGCCCTGCGCCCACCCGCTGGCTGGGGCTCCCCCAGGTGAATGGGGGCGGTGAGGGCGGGAGGAAGCTGGGGGCACACCTTCTCCATAAGCAGAACGGAGAGCTGACCCTAAGCAGGAGGCAGAGGCCCCCGGGCCCAGGGGGGTGGGCGTGGAGGCACTGAGCTCAACGGCCCAGGACCAGTGCAGCCTGGCATTTGGGCCACTTTACGAAATGATTATATAAATTAGAGTGACTGGTGCTTTCTTTAAAAAAAAAAAATACATGAATCTGATGTAAGCCTTTCGTGGAGGCAGGCAGGACGGACCTGCAGGGACAGTGTGGCCACAGAAGCTGCCGCCAAGTGCGGCGTCTGATTGCCTGCTTATGCTTTCCCGCTCTCCCCGCTCCACTGCGTCCTCCTCCTCACAGTTCACTGCGTGTGTCGGAAAGACGTGGCTTTCTAATCTGCCCTTCCTTCTCCCAGACGCGCTGCTCCAGTGCCCAGAACTATACATTTAAAATATATATATTTATTTTATTATTGATTTCAGAGAGGAAAGGAGAGGGAGAGAGAGAGAGAGAGAAACATCCATGACGAGCGGGCATTATTGACCAGCTGCCTCCTGCACGCCCCTCACTGGGGATCGAACCCACAACCCGGGCATGTGTCCTGACCGGGAATCGAACCCTGACCTCCTGGTTCATAGGTCGACACTCAACCGCTGAGCCACACCGGCCGGGCATCGTGATTTCTTCCGTGGCCCTCTGCAGCCCCCGCTGTGCTCGGTGGCCCTGATACAAGCCGATGGCTCCCAGCCCTTCCTGGGTCCACGTCTCCATCCCTGGCTTCCTCGCTGCCTCCATCAGACGCCCCTGGCGGGCTGATTTATGGCTGCATCAGGGAAAACTTCACCCAGGGCGTGAAATACAGTGCCCCGCGCCTGGGCCGCATCTTCCCCGTTATCGGCGGTTGCAAGTGTGTTTATAACCCTGGCGCCAAATCGAAATCAGGGTGATTTGCGCATCAATCTCCCAGATTAAATCGGGGAGGTGCTCTATTGCGGCTGGAAGGTTTGACCTTCGCGGTGCCTTTGGCGGGTCCGACTCGTGTAAGTCCCCTGGACAGTGACCCAGGACCTGTTGGAAAATGCAGCGATAGTGGCCGGAGCTGGGATTACAGCTGCATCAAAAGGAGAGAGAGAGAGAGAGAGAGAGAGACTCGTGAGCACTGGAGGAGAAGGCAGCATGGTCTCGAAGGAACCCAGGTTGCTGGGACCACTTCCCTACCTCTTCACTGCACCCCTGAACTCTAGAACACGTAGAACGCAAAACACTGACTCTTGCCCAGCCGGTGTGGCTCATTGACGAATGAACCAGGAGGTCAGGGTTTGATTCCTGGTCAGGACACAGGCCTGAGTTGCAGGCTCGACCCCCAGTGAGGGGCATGCAGGAGGCAGCCAATCCATGATTCTCTCTCATTATTGGTGTTTCCATCTCTCTCCCTTTCTCTTCCTCTCTGAAATCAATAAAGACAAAAGAAAGAAGGAAGGAAGGAAGGAAGGAAGGAAGGAAGGAAGGAAAGACAAAAACCCCAAACACTGAATCTTACTAAAGCTGGCCTCAGGTGGCCGGGCAGGCCCTCATCTTGTTTACAATCCCCGGAGCACAGAGCCCTGTGGGTCAGAGAGGTAATGAAGTTGCTAAAATGACTGGGCCCTCGCTGGTTTGGCTCAGTGGATAGAGCATCGGCCTGTGGACTGAAGGGTCCTGGGTTCGATTCCGGTCAAGGGCACATGCCCGGGTTGTGGGCTCGATCCCCAGTGGGGGGCGTGCAAGAGGCAGCCGATCAATGATTCTCTCTCATCATTGATGTTTCTCTCTCTCTCTCTCTCCTTTCCTCTCTGAAATCGATAAAAATATATATTAAAAAAAAAACGTATAAAATGCCTGGGAGAGCGGCACCGGACGGATATCCGTGGAATTCGTCTCATCGCCACACGGACTGGCTCTCCCTGCTGATGGCGCAGAAGGTGGGGGGCTTCCCGAAAACCCTGTCTCCTCTGGTCGCTCTCATACCGTCACCCACAGCCTCGAAGGATGCTGGCGGCATTCACAGCGCCCAGCAGGGTTAAAGGTATTTGGATCAGATCCGTGGAAATTATAGATTTTTAGATCCCGAAGGCTCCGGCTTGGTGGTCAGAGGGTGTATTTAGGGTAAATGTTTTCAAGTCGGGGTTCTACACCTATAATCTGAGCCCCTCACTGTATACTTAGCCCGAACGTCTTTGGGAAGTAACCGCCACTCCTTTGAGTCTGCGCCCTTTCCTCGTCCCGGGAGGAAGCTCTGAGCTCCTCAAATGGCCCGGCCTGTGCGGCCAATCCCTTTCAGATATGCTAATGTGCGCGGCTGATTATTAAGATAAATACCTTGTGTTGGAAACTGGAGTTAATTATAATCTATGTAATTAGTCGCTGGTCAGCCTAGAAGTTATAATTTATTGTTCCCTAATTTGCATTTATTATCAAAGATATTTCATTTAAAGGAATTACAAAAAATAACCTGATTCGAGTGGTTATGGAGATGGTGGGCATTTAGCAGACTTCAAAACTCTTTTTTTTGTTGTTGTTTTTTGTTCTTCAAACTTTTCTGAGCCGTCACACACAGTTTCAGGCCGTAGCCCCCACATCAGGAGACGACGGTGCCTGCTGATTACAAAGCGAGAACGCCGCTTCTGTGAGCAGAAATGACGCAGGCTTCGCTCCCAGGGTCCCTGGTTGGAGCCCCCGGTGAGCCTGCAGGAGAGGATGGGCGTGGTGCTGAGGGCGTCTTGTGTGTCCTGTGGGGATAGAGTAAAGTATTAGGGGCGTTTCCTTCCAGGGAATGATTTCTCCTGGACAGCGACACAGACACAGCTTTGATGCCCAGGCAGGTCCTGGTGCCATTGCATAAAGCAGGTCTCCATGAAGCAGGTCTCCATGAAGCAGGTCTCCATGAAGCAGGTCCCCATGAAGCATGAAGCATGAAGCAGGTCCCCATGAAGCAGGTCTCCATGAGGCAGGTCTCCATGAAGCATGAAGCAGGTCTCTGTGAAGAAGGTCTCCATGAAGCAGGTCCCCATGAAGCATGAAGCAGGTCTCCATGAAACAGGTCTCAATGAAGCAGGTCCCCATGAAGCAGGTCTCCATGAAGCATGAAGCATGTTTCTGTGAAGAAGGTCTCCATGAAGCAGGTCCCCATGAAGCAGGTCCCCATGAAACAGGTCTCCATGAAGCATGAAGCAGGGCTCCGTAAAGCAGGTCTCCGTGAAGCTCTGCGTGCTTCCCCAACGTGCCATTTCCGTGTTCCTGGATCAGATGCCTGTTCTGTTACTACGCGGGGCTCCCTCAGCCACTCAGGGGCCCCCACGATGCCAGGTACGGTGCTGAGCATTGGTGCCAGGATCTCTCTCCATGGCACCTGACATGGCTGCCCATTTTATGGATGAGTACAGCAAGGCTCAGATACATGCGCTCCCCCATGGCCCTTGGTGTCTGGCAGCGCTCAGAGGGGTGCCTCCAGGTCAAGGGAACCTGCAAGAATTCCCGGGACCCCAGTAGACACGGCCACGTTGGCTCTTGTGACGAGGACTGGCTGTTCCCGTGAGTTTGCAGCAGCGATTCCTCTGCATTCCGGGTTCCTCTGCTGTTTCCAGGCCTCGCTCCCCTGAACGTGAGCTCCCCACGCAGTGGCCCGGCGGGCTGAGACTTTACTCTGTTACTCATGCTGGACCAGCACCGTAGCTGCCACATGCTAGACATTCAATAAACATTGTTGAAACACGGAACCTTATCCAGAGCCAGGGCTGGATGTGGCAGCAGCACACAAGCAGTGGTCGCCATGGGGCCTTGGCGTATGTCCTTTCTCTGCTCTGTGACCTTGGACACACCATCTCACCCCTGTGGACTTCGTCCCCCGAGCCTGTCAATCAAACCAGCCTGTCAATCAAACCAGCTCTGCTTTGCAGGGCTGGGAGGATGCTCATGGGCTCTTACGGGACTTTTGAAATGTGAGAGCTGCGAGATAGACTTGAACAACGCAAGGAAAGGTAGCCGGTCCTCGAATTGGCGGTAGAAACGATTTCTAGGAAATATGCTGCAATTTGTTTTCTCTCTTAGAAATTTAAAAACACCTTCCAAACCAACTCTTGGACGCAGACGTCAAAACTGACATCGTAAACTACTTATAAGTTCATGGCACCGCGTACCAGAACCTAGGGGCTGGGTCCAAATGAGTAGAGAGCCATCTGTAGCCACAATGGGCTTATGAAAACATAAGATGGAAAATGCACTTTCTGAACATTCAACTGAAGAAGCTGAAAACAAACGCCACCGCCAATACCAACATTCACATGCGTGAGTGCACACATGCATGCACACACACACACACACACACACAGAAAACAAAATTTTTAAAAAATATATATTTTTTATTTCAGAGAGGAAGAGAGAGAGAGAGAGAGAGAGAGAGAGAGAGAGAGAAACAGAAACATCAATGATGAGAGGGAATCATTGACCGGCTGCCTCCTGCACGCCCCTCCACTGGGGATCAAGCCCACAACCCGGGCATGTGCCCTGACCAGGAATCCAACTGTGACCTCCTGGTTCATAGGTCATTTCTTAACCCCTGACCCACTCCAGCCAGGCAAGAAAACAGTTTTCAAGTGCATTTTTTTCCCCCATAGGAAAGTCTAAGATAGTGAGATAGTGAGATATATCTGTACCAGGAGATTGTCTAACAGCGATCGCCGGCTCATGCATTTTCCACTGACCGGTAACGTGTAGTGTGCATTGCCCTGTGCACAGGATGAAGCTCTCCAAGGGTGTGGTCATTCTATAGCAGCCAATCATGCTTTGCTTTGTCTAGACCGTTTTTGGGAACATGCCCGTTGAAGAAGAAGAATGGGATGGCAGAGAGAGCGGAGGGCGCGCCCTTGACCGCGTGAAGAAGCAGTTTGCACTGTATGGTGTCGGCACAGAGGAGGGCATCCGGGAGACCTGGGCAAGAAGGCCCCTCAGCCAGCGGCCGGCATTTCCAGGGCCAGAGGGAGGCTTTGGGGGACGGAGTGCCGCGTCCTTTCTGCTGCTACTTGATAGTTGGTGTGATGACTCACCGGAGGCCAGATTCTCGGCTCCCCAGGGCACCTTCCAAACAGGATGCTGGAGACCGGAGACCAGTGGCAAGTCCTGTCTGGGGGACGGCGCAGAAGGTCTCAAACACGACGTCTTCACGTGGGGCCCGACTCTGGCGCCTGCTCACAACAGCCCCTTAGAGAATGGGGGACACCCCCCCACCCCGATGTCCTTGACACTCTCAGGACGGTGCGCGTACCCCACCTCCTGCCAAGGCGGAGGCATGAGGAAACGGGAAGCTTCCCAAGCCAAACTCTTCCCCCCATTTGTGGGGCTGCCAGCCCACACCCGCCATGGACGAGTGTCAGGGGCCCTGGGGTGCCTGCGAGTCACCCTCTGAATTAGACACACCCGGGGTGCTGGCATCTTTAACCTTATGTGTCCAACACGCTCTCCACTGACTTGTTCAGCCTCTGGGAGCTTTGCTGTGGTTTGTGTCTTTGATCCGTAACATGAGTAACATGTCAGCGTTTGCCCGTCTTAGTGTGTGCAGGCTGCTATAACAACAGAGCCCGGACCCGCTGCCTTAGAAACAACAGGCATTTATTTCTCCCAGTTCTGGAGGCTGGAAATCCAAGATCAGACCCCAGCAGGGTCGGCTGAAGGCCCTCTTCCAGTGACTAGATTTCTTGTATCCTTATGTGGTGGAAGGGGGTAGAGGGAGGGAAGGGAGCTCTCTGTGGTCTCTTGCATAAGGGCACTAATCCCAGTCATGAGAGCCCCACCCTCAGGACCTGATCACCTCCCTGTGGCCCCACCCACCTTCTAATATTACCAGCTTAGGGGTTAGGATTTCAACAAGTGAATTTGGAGAAGACACAAGCATTCAGACCCTAGCACTGCCTCTGTGGTAAGTTTTCCACGAGGAAATTGTGTAAAACATTCAGATTCATGCCTGCTTTACGCCAAAACTCACACTAACTGGTAGCTCTACCTGCCAGTGTTCTCATTTGCAAAACAGGATCAACAATACCCATCCTATCCTACTTGGGAAGGGAGTCCTGTGAAATAGTCAATATATTTTTTAAAATATGTTTTTATTGAATTCAGAGAGAAGGGAGAGGGAGAGAGAGAGACAGAAACATCAGTGATGAGAGTCATGGATCAGCTGCACCCTACTGGGGATCCAGCCTGGAACCCGGGCCTGTGCCCTGACCGGGAATCATACCGTGACCTCCTGGTTCATAGGTCGAGGCTCAACCACTGAGCCATGATGACTGGGCAATAGTCGCTATTTGATTACTTTTAACTAAACAGCAATTTCATGGCATGTCCATTCATAGCTATAGAGACTCATAACTAACTGTAAGTGGGACTGTTACTTTATTCCCTCTCCGCTTCCCAGCTCCCCAGCTCCCCAGTGCAGGCACACCCCAGAGAAGTGACAAGATGGAATTAGGGCCTTTTTCTCTCTCTCTGTTTCACTTTCTACTCTCCCCTCCCTCTCCCCCCAACTTGCCCATACTCCTCTGTCACAGAGCGCAGTAGGGGCAAGCTTTGTGAGTCAGACATAGTCCATAGAAGAGAGTAGGCTTGCTATTTTCTGGGTTAAGTTGTTAATTGATTTGATAATTGCCTGGGAGACACACACAAGACAGACACATACGCAAAACCAATGTCAGGCCACACACTCTCCCTTGACAGTAAGATGAAGATGTCTGAGTTATTGGAACTCCGATGCCACCTGGAAGAATAAGAGGAGGAACCAGGGGAAGAAAGAGGGGAGTGGAGCCAGAGTGAGAGGT